GGTGCTGTGGTTGATTTGCTTATTCTTCTCCCTGTGCCCCAATCTCATTCACAGAGCTTTTAATAACCTCTTAACTATTGGTCATTTGCTAGGACTGACGCTTCTCTAATGTTGCCCTGGGGCCCCTTACCTGCATTGTCTACTGTCATAGCCTCCTGGCCCCAATCACAGATCAAATTGCAAATACCTAATCTGAGGGGTGTCACTGCATCTTGAAAAAAAGTATCCAGTTAGCTTTCTCTTTGCTCGATGTAGCACAGTTTCTGCAGCTCAGATTCCAGTTCCTCAACTTGAATCTGAAATTCCTCGAGCTGCAAACATTTGCTACAAATGTGTTCACCCTGGGTTACCTTGATGTTCAGCTGCTCACAGATGTTACAGTAGCAACATATTTCCCGTCCTGTTTTATTTTATTTGTAATCAGTTACTCTAGATACCTTGCTCTTTAGACTGTTGTATTTTTTAAACTAGTATCATTATACTTACCAACCTATTTTAAAGAAAAAAAATGTGAAAGAAATTAAAGACCTTAACTCAAACTGAAGACCTTATTATTACGTTAAAGACTAGAAATACCCAGAAATCCTACTTACCAATCAGCTGCCTTCCTTGCAGTCATGTCACATTGTGGTTCATAACACCATGCCACTGCTAGCAGGCCTTTTGATCTGCGCCTTTTATCCTCTCCTTATTTCTCTGGGGAATTTAATTCTTAAAGTAAATCTTATTTAAAGCACTTTAGTCCTTCTCTGCACCAAATTCCCACTTTGAATGAAAGTCCCAGATGTTCTCAGTCGACATCTGTCTCACTGAAACACTCCCTCACTCTGACCATGTTCCTTACTGATCATGTGTTTAAAAATCCCTTTACTATACAGAACTTTGATGGTTACATTTTAGTTTTGCTTCCTGCCACCTCATCACCTTCATCACCTCATTCAGCTGTTTGCTAGATAACTGCCACTATCAGTCAGCTGCATTTCTAATTATTACTTAATATTTATTTATTATAAACTATTTTAACTTACTTAATGGCTATTCATTCTAGATCTGAATCTGACTTTTACTCCATTATTTGAAACTGAGACTCCAGTTGAGTTCTAAGGAAGCGTCACTGGACCCGAAATGTTAACTCTGATTTTTCTCTACAAATGCTGCTAGACCTGCTGAGCTTTTCTGGCAACTTCAGTTTTTGTTCCTGATTTACAGCATCAGCACTTCTTTCGGTTAACTTCTCACTTTGAACCAAATTCCTAGATATACTGACAGCCTTAGTCTCTGAAAGAAACATGTATGTTGCTTTTCTAGATGAACTTATTTCTGTCTCTGACCTCCTGTTGTCCCATCTCGGAGACAGACAGTCAAATCAAATCAGTCTCCATATCCCTACATTCACCACACTATAAAATTAAAGCATTCAGTGATGCTCAAAATTGCCCCAGCGGTTCCTGACTAGATTTTGTGAGTTAACAATACTAGACTTTGTGAATAATTGATATCAGACACCAAGTTTATAAATTCAGCAAAAGACTTAACAATTTATTAATAGTACAATAGTTATAGTGGAGCAAAGTTAAGTAACAAGGTAATCTAATTTATGGTTTAAAACCAAACTTCTTTGATACTAGCACCCATTCACACATAGATAGACAGGCAGGCAGGCATAGCTAAGAGATTAATTAAAGTAAATAAAGGAAAAGTAACTGGAAAGTCCACATAAACAGTTTCCAAGATGCATAGTAACACAGGCACATGGAATTGTATTTTACTTGCTTTCTGAAGATGCTGGTCAGTGCAAATAGTTTCCAGTAGGCTCCAAGGAATATTAGTTTAATTATTATAACTGGCATTTTATTCTCTGAGCTTTTAATAAATTGATAATGGGAGAATTGCCAGAGAGCAATCAGATCTCCTTCTTGTAGCTTTGGCAGCAACAGTCTTTCTGAGCAATTTGTGCCTTGTGCTTTAATAATTTTCCTTATTCAAATTTAGCATTGTTGTTTCAGTTTGAACAACTTCACTTTCAAGCATAATGTAAAATTCTTTCATTTTGTGGTCACTCATCCCTAAAGGCTCTTTTGCAACAAAATTTTACTTGCATAATGCAATATCTAAAATAGCCTATCTGCTAGATGGCTCCTCAATATAATGCTCTAGAAAACCATTCCAAAAACACTCCAGAAACTCATCCTTCAAAATTTTAATGCTCAACTGGTTTACCCAGTCCATATGCAGATTGACGTAACCCATGATTACGGTGTTCTCTGTGCACACTTCTCTCATCTCCTGATTAATACCATGCCGCACACTACCACAACAATTTGATGGCCCATAAGTACCTCCAACCAATGTTTGTTGCCCAATGCTGTGTTAGCCCTACCTGGATTCCACATGCTGTTCTTCTGATCTGAGATTCTTCCTTACTAATGTAATGATCCCTTCCTTAACCATCAGTGCAATTCCAGCTTGTTTTTCCTTCTTACTGATTATCCTTAAACATGCAATTCCAAGTGCTGGTCATCATACTGCCATGTTTCTCTAATAGCAATTAGATCATATCCATTTATCGCTATTTATTCCTTTAGGTCATTTATCTTGCTGCAAATGCTGCATGCATTTAGGGACGGTGTCCTTAATTTTGTCCTTTTGGTATTAATTCACATTGAAAGCATATTTGATGCCTGACTTTGTCTCTCCTATCTTCTAATTTCCCTAGCAGTTTTTCTATTTCTTGTAACTTCATTTCTTTCAAATTTGGGTTACCCCTCAAGTTCCCAATCCCTTGCCATGCTAGTTTAAACGTGTTCCAACTACACTAGCAAATCTCTGTGTTTATTTCTGGATTCTCTAAAGTTCAAGCTGTGATAGATTGCATGAATGTGGCCCTCAAAGCTCCACTGGGCTAGTCAGACCATGCAAGTGTGTGACCGCTATTCTGGGAATAATGACTCTCTGATGCCACGGTGTTCTGTCTACCAGAGCCAAGAAAAGGTTGACTTTTTGAAGATAAGGAATACTGGCTGAAGATATGCCTCGTGAGAAATATATGAACAAAGGCTGAGATGCATTACAATCAGATCATACATCTTACCAGGGCCATTACTTAATAGACCATTGATCTATCCAAAATGTGATATTGATGCATGGACATTTGCAGGTGACTCTCTGCAATATTCTTTAGCTCATTCCTCCAAAGTCATTTTGATCTGCTTCATCATGCATAAGAGAGAGGGCACTCCACAGAGGGGAAGCCTAAGCAGAGAAGATGCAATGGAACAAGTTGCATCCTCTAATGAGTCTCAGGACAAATCTGGGGATGAGCAGCAAGTCACCACTAAACAGTGAGGCTGCATATGGTCTGAGTCCCATCATTTGGATTGGCATCTACACGTGGGTATGAAGGATTTGAAGCAGTAAGAGCTAAAAATAGGTGATCTTTTAGCCTCTTTGGAGAAACAAACAGAGGTTGATGGCAAGAAGATAAAACTTTTTCCGAACAATTATTTAGAATGAAAATGGGTCAAACTGTCAGATGTTACATCCTTTCTGGCAAGGATCCTGAAACAAACACAACCAGCACAGTAGTCCACAAAGGGGAAAATATTCTCTCATCTTTCGCAATTTCAGTGCCTAAAATGGACACTGCCTTTTTCAAAGAGTGCTGTCATAAAACATTGAGTGTCACCACTCCCATACCACTGTGCCTTTAAATACCCAACAATGACCAACTTCCAGTTCATCATAGCCCACTCCTGTCAACATCCCCAACACATGTGACTGAGTGCGGAGACTCTGTTAACCAGCCTTCTCATCTGGAAGCTACTAATTTCTGGTTCACACTTGAATCTCCATGCTGATACAGAGAAGGAAAAAAGTGAGAATACTGCACAGTTCCCATTCTACCTCCTTCATCACATCAGCAACCATAAAATTCATTCCATTGAGTTTCTCTCCTTATGGCAACCAGATTGTATGTGAAAATAGTGCCCACCTCTTGAAAATATAGCACATTGAACTGTGTTGAATTAATGCTTTTAGCAATACCTGAAGTTGAATACTAGAATCAGCCTTATAGGTCATGTTGTGGCTGGACAGGACATTGGTGAAGCCACTTTTAGAGTACCATGTACAACTCTGGTCATCCTTCTGTAGGAAAGATGCTGTTAAACTTGAGGGGGTGCAGAAAAGATTTACAAGAATGTTGCCAGGACTGGAGGATTTGAGTTACAGGGAGAGGCTGAATAGTCTGGGGCGTTTTTCTCTGGAGCGTCAGAGGTTGAGGGGCACCATTACATAGGTTTATAAAATCATGAGGGGCATTGATAGGGTGAATAGCCTAGGTCTTTTTCCTGGGATGGGGAGTCCAAAACTACAGAGCATATTTTTAAGATGAGTGGGGAAAGGTTTAAAAAGAACCTGAGGGGTAACTTTTTCATGCAGAAGGTGGTGCGTGTATGGAAAGAGCTGCCAGGGGAAGTGGTGGAGGCTGGTACAACTACAACATTTAAAGGGCATCTGGGTGGGTATATGAGTAGGAAGGGTGTAGAGGGATATGGGCCAAATGCTAGCTAATGGGACTATGTCATATTGGGATGTCTGGTTAGCATGGACGAGTTGGACTGAAGGATCTAGTTCTACGAGTAAGGTACAAGAGGCACAGTTTTCATTCTATGCTTACATTAATCACCAGAACAATTGGCAGCAAGCTAAAACTTACTTTTGAGCTGAACAGCAAAAGTAAACACCAAAGGAGCCAAGCAGAATTTAATTTTGAATCTGGACACTAAGGGTGAATGAAAAATATAATTAAATCCTTGATGGGAACTGGAGAAATACTCTGAATGCATCCACGATGAATGGGGTCCAGATAGAGGAATGATGTGAATACCTGAAATGCTGGACTGGAATTTTAGTATTTGGAACAGGACCTTGTTGTTGTTGAGCAATTACAGGCACAGAAATACATTGAAAGCATAAAACCCAAGGAATGAATCACAGGCTTGAGTCAATCTGTCATATTTTACACTACACAAGGATAGCAGAAGTACAGAGTTTTCATCCTGAATCTATAACATTATTTAAGGATATACAATTAGTAATCTAATCGTAATTCATTTTTTAAATCCACAAAGGGATTGTTTTACCACTGTTCCTCACAGAATTTCTTTGTTTCTTTCATCCATATTCTATCCACTCTCCTTCCCATTGTTTTTCCCTAATACCCTCCTCCTGCTTTTTTCCTCCCCTGTTCTAATCACTCCCTCCCTCAATTATAATCCCTATAAATTGTTAGCAGATGACTATTAAACCAAGTTAAAGTAATTATCCCATTTGTATTGAATGTGCCTTAGATTTCTTTTAGTCCACATTATGCAGTGCTGTGGCTTTGCGAATCAGCCTCTCAGTCATTGGAGAGTTTGGTCTAAAAGCATCTCGCTCCACGAGGAGGCATCTGTTGGTGAAAGAAAAACATTAAACTTAGCAAATTACACACTATGTGGTCATGATGTTAAGAGGAAATGAGTACAGACCGAAGTTCCACTTCACGTGAATGCTCTGAAATTGAATAATGAAATAATAAGGCACTTAGCATACTCATCTGAATCACACCAACACCTCTGCTAAATAGTAAGACAACTTCAAGTCTGTTAAGTTGTCAATGCTACTTCCCCAGCTGAATTTCAGGATTCATTTGTTTAATCTTCTGAAAACAGTTGTGGTTTTCAGGATGATAATTCTAGTTGTTATATTCTTGAAATATAAACCTAGAAATTACAGTGACTGAAGTTAAAATATGTAGAATTCAACCACTTATGTAAAATTCAGTTTTCTGCTTATCCCTAATTGCCTTTGAGAAGATGATGGTGAGTTCCTTGAGTGTTATGTACACCCACAGTCCTGTTAGGAAGGGAGTTACAGGATGTCTGCTGAACACCAGTGAATATAATTTCAAATCAGGATAGTGAGGCATAAAGGGCACTTTCAGGCTGTGGCATTCCTCTGCTTGGTTGCCCTTAATCCTTCTAGTGGTAGAGATCCCAAGTTCGGAAGTTGCCTTTTGTAGATGGTTGACAGGCTTTTGGAAGTCAGGAGAGAAGTTACTCAATGCGGAATTCTGAGCATCTTGCAGCCACAGTGCATCATTGATTCTTGTGATTTTCAGGTAATAAGGAATAGCAAGGTGAACTTCGTTCTTAGTAACTGTGAGATTACACGAGTTGTTTATAGTGTTATAAAATAACTGCAGCCCCACTGACCAGCATATTGTCCAATAAGCCTAGAAATACAACATATTTATTATTGTATGAGAAATTGTTTCAAAATGTTGTTTTATAATTTGTTGATTGCTTGGAAAACAGTAACAAGTAATGCAAAGTAAGGTGGAAAGCTCTAATACCATCCGTATTCCCAAAGCTGCAACTAGTTCCAAATCATGACTGGTACTTGATCTACTCTGATCTCAACCATCGCAGGAGACTCCCAGGATAAGAGAAGAAACATTTTAGGGATGTCCCTAGGATAGCCTAAAAAAATCAAACATCCCCTTCGATTGTTGTGATCAGCTAAAATGGAGACAGTTCATTCAGTAAGGCACTGAATCCATTGAGAGATTTCATTGGGAGCTGCAGAGACAAAATCGAGGTGTCAAAAGGAACACAAAAACCTGCAAACACCTCGTCTATCTGACCCTACAAGCACCACTTTCACTGCATGTGGCAGGGTCTGCAGATTGAGCACATTGGATTCTGAGATGTCTGATAAATTCATCGAACTAGAGTGGAAACCAGTCATGCTCAACCTGAAGCACTGCCTAAGAAGCCTAATAAATTCAGATAATACATGTTATGAACCTGGTGGTAATGGGTTTGAATTTCCACTGGTCTAGCACATTGTAGCATTATGTTAGGCAAGTGTAAGGTGAAAACCTTGAGAAATAAGCTGGGCTGTATTTAAGTTGTGTTTCAGTCACTGTTCCAAGTTCCAGGGAACCTTGCTTGGAGCAAAATGTCTGCCAATTTCGAACAAGATGATCTCTGATGGAGGAGTAAGTGCCAGAAGGAGACTCCTAGGTTGAGAATTCAAGCAGTTCAGCACTCTTAAGAGAGAAGGTGCAGCAGTATGCCAAGCAGCAGCAAAGCATCCCGTCTGGGGGTCCAAGGCACTGCACTTTATTAAAGGGCCAATTTGAGCTGAGTTTTGTTCTCTGAGCCATAGTGCCAGTGGATAGCTGGTATGAGCCACATTTCTTACTTATCCTCTATATGCCACATCTGTATCCTTTAGGGATGCATGTCACAAATTCAAAATGGAGGATATCAATGAGTAGGCTGAGATATTCTTCGGGCTGTTAGTCCGGTAGATTTTCATGATTAATATACAAGTAAGTGAGCTGAGCAAGATGAACAAGAATGGATGAGACCCAAAGGAATGTTACTTTTGTGTGGTATCTGACTTTATCTTAAGGTGAGAAAAGATAATGGAATAAAAAGCTAACCAGTTGATTTTTGTTTTTTAGTTGATAGTGATTCACTTCATATGTCAGGTTAGGGTAATTGAAAGGTGAGTCCATGTAATAAACAAAAGCATTAAAAATTCCATCTACTTAGCACCTTTACCAACCACAGGAAATCCAAGAATGCTTTACCGTCACTGAAACACTTTGGAAGTGTAATTATGTCATTTAGGAAACAGTAGCTACTTTGCATGAAGCAAGATTCCACAGCCATGTGAGAATGCTCAGATGTTTTTGTGATGTTGATTGATGAATAATTCTTGACTTCATATCAGCGATAATGCCTCTTCACTTTAGAGTACGGTCATGGGATCTTTAACATCCACATGAGCAAACAGCTAATATCTCAATCAACACCTTAAGTTGGTCGAAATTTAGTAGTTTGACCAATCAAATCACATCTGGAACACAGCGCCTTACATTTGCCTTTAATAAGATATAAGTTAAGGTCTTGGCTATCTCCTTTATATATTTTGAGGTCTGGTCCATACCATATGTCTGAAAGGTTACAGAAAAAATCATCTGACCACATTTCTTTGATTTATGGATTTACCGACCACGTAGTCATGGTCCAATAATTACTTGATAAAGCTATTTTCAATTAATAGAAAGGGTAAAGGAAGCAGCTTCAGGAGTAACTTTGAATAGGAAGTTTCATATCAACTTGAGATAGAAATATTTTCAGAGTTGTGGGATACAACAAGAGAATGGGATGGATTGAATAGGTTTCCTAAAGAGACAGTGCAGGCATAATGGACTGAAAAATCTACAACTCTGCAAATTGGGTCAATGAACATTTTAATGAATCATATCACAAAATTGCCACATTCTGGAAATAATTATCACACTGGGATGCTACCTTGTCAGTGGCAGGAAAGGTGTCTGAAAACCCTCCCAACCAGAAACCAGTTGAATTTCTACCATGTCAGGAGGTCACAGTGTGAACTCTGGTGGCTGCCTGTCTGGCTGTAGGGGAGGGGCATGAGATGTACCTCTACTTTAGGCATTTTTTGGTCAAGGAGCTCCTTCCTCCTTGACAACAATAACTGGCCACACAGCAAGGGTTCTGTCTGCCCTCCACTAACCCACACAGCCTAGGCATGTCCCCAGCTGGCCCCAGTGTCCACAGACTCCTCCCCCTTACTTAGCTGTGAGAACACACATCCATCACTTTCTCTTTCTCCTCCAGTCGCAGCTCCTGCAGTGACCACCAGTCTTGATGGCACCTTTTGATTGGTTAGCAGCCTTTGAGGGCAGGTAACCATCTTTAAAAGAGACAAGAATTAACTGGCAGGTAATTGGCTGTTGTTGTCAACCTGCAGCCCATGTCCCGGTGAATCAGTAAGTTTGCGCCCCCATCTTTTCTTCTACACCCTCCTAGTTTTCAGGCCTGATACCAAAAGCCTGTTGACTCCACTAAATCTGGCACGTACCTGGCTAGTTTATGGTGAGCTCTGTTGTCTGATTTTAAAGCAGCATGGATCAATAACTGGTTAAAGACATCTCTCTGCAAGAAATGAAATTGTTTTTAAAAAATGAGATTATATGCAGACAAATTAATCCAATTATCACAGTTTTGTTCAAATTATATGGCACAATATCATAATATATTCAGAGTTCTACGGCAGGAATTCTCCCTGTGGACTTCTGAACCTTGCTAGTAGGCTCTAATGGGAATCACAAGTCGACACAATACGGGAAATTGTAATTTAATCTGATCTTCCACACAGCAGCCAATAATAGGCAAAGGGGGACTCACCATTAAGTAAGGTCAGTAAACTAGCTGTAAAAGCTGGACGGTCAATTGGAGGGCTTTTAGTTTGAAGGCAGTAGCATGATGCACTGGGCGCTAAATGGAGAGGATACTTCAAAATGGAGACAATTCTTGCAATTCTTTGAAAAATCATTTATATTTTTTAAAATAGCCTTTCTTTGCAGTCAATCTTTCACTGTGGTGGGACCAATCCCTCTCCAAGGTGGCTGAATGCTGCTGCTGTTGCACCTAGGCAAGTAGGGCAGGCATCTAAACCTGCCTGGAGGACTGGATCTTCACTTGAGCTATTTTGCGTAAACCTGTTCAGGTGTGCTATGACACCTCTTAAGTAAGTGGGACTTGAACCCAGGTTTCCTGACTCAGAGTCAGGCATACTATCACTGTGCCACAAGACCCCCAGTCTCTACTAAAACACCATCTTCACAAAGCTAAACTGGTCCTTGGCACCTACAGGAAACTGGAGGCATTTTTAAGTGGGTTGAATAAGCCTAATTGAGTGTGCTGCATACAGGCTGGTGACCTAGCCCTGCCACTCTCCCAAACCCACAAATTAGAAGATGCGGCTAATGGCCAGTAGCCCTACTTTAACACCTGTCTGCCCCTTCTCCTGATTTCAGCAGGAATTAAGAACCAAGCCCCTGTCTCCAAAACTGAGGAAGAGAGCAAACAATAGATAAATTAAAAAAGTCATGTATCTAATGCAAGTAAAAATAAGTTGAGTAAATAGACGTCCAGATTCTTTAACTTAGCTTGTTCAAAGAAATCTGACACAACATTATTAGAGGAATTATTTTCATTCTGGCCATTCTGCTAGGGAAGTTTGGTTTTGTGAAACTTGTTGAAAATAATGCATATACAATTAACTGAAAGTGTGGTGGAGGCAAGTTTAATTGAGCCATTCAAGAGGACATTGGATGATTATTTTAATATAAATAGTGAGGAAGAGTTTGGTTAAAAAAAAACAGGGCATTGGCGCTAGGTAATGGTGCTCGTTTGAAAAGTCAGCAGAGGCAATGAGTTAACTAGCCTTCTCCTGCACTATAACGCCTCTTTGAGGTAAAGGCCACTCCACTCTGAGCATAAAATTCTTCCTAATGTAAAATTCTATCATGTTGTGGTAAATCTTCCCTAGGTGATCCCTTTAGCACAAGGTTGTGAAGTAGACCTGTCTCATTGTACAGTAAAATATTCAAAACACCCGATTCCTAATTGCTTCCTCAACATACTCATCCAGAAAACTATCGTTATTTACATTTCACAAACATATCCTCCACTCTTTTCATTATAGATTTTGCTCCCCAGTGCATGTGAAAATTGAAATCCCCCAAAATTACTTTATCCATATTAGACATCCCTCTTCTGAATTGGCTGATAAAAGAAATACAGTGGATCTTTGTATTTGGATTTTCACGTATTGCCAAATGACCAGCTTGTTTAGAAAATTAAAGGGGAGTACCACAATGAATAGGGATTTGGTTTAATTCACTTAAGAGCAAAATCACACAAAAACAAAAACTAATCACACAAAGACAAATCTATAATTCTTTACTCCCCATCTGTGGGTGATAGGGAGAATTGGACCTTTCAGGACTGAGATCAATAAATTCCTGTCAGGTAAATGCATCAAAGGATTTGGAGCAAAAGCATCTAAGTGATGCTGGATACAAATGAGCTGTGACATTACCAAATGGTGGAGCAGGCTCAAAGCATAAATGGTCTACTTCTGTTCCATATGTTGCCATCACTTTAACAACATATTTTCAGAGCCAGTATCTGTTGAGATTAACATCTAATCTGATTCCAGCTGATTTGATCTTTCTGAGAAGACATTAGAAAATACCTGTGCATTACTGCCTCCAATGTTCTGAATCCGGTAACGAACTGGATTTAACAGATCCACACTGCGACTGTAATTTCCATTTGCAAACTCTGCTATTGCCTGACAGATAGGAAGTCCCAAATCTTTACAGATTTGGTATTGATAGTTTTCACCAGGAGCTCTGAAAAGATAAAAATATATATTCTACAATCTGAGGTCTGATGCACATGGTTCACTGCATTTTGTCTCATGTCAATCAACATTTTTTTCAGAAATGGACTTAAGCAGATTTTTTGTTGTAGATGACTCAATGGAAATACACAGCCTAATGTGAGACTTCACCAAATACTTTTTTCACAAGTAAAACAAATTTGGTATCTATGTTAACTTTGCATCAATCTGATATTATAGAGTCATAGAGCTGAACAGCATGGAAACAGCCCCTTTGGTCCAACTTGTCCATGCCGACCAGATATCCTAAATTAATCTAGTCCCATTTGCCAGCATTTGGCCCATATCACTCTAAATCCTTCCTATTCATATACCCATCCAGATGCCTTTTAAATATTGTAATTGTACCAACCTACACCACTTCCTCTGGCAGCTCATTCCATACACTCACCACCCTCCGTGTGAAAAAGTTGCCCCTTGGATCCCTTTTAAATCTTTCCCCTCTCACCTTAAACCTATGCCCTCTAGTTTTGGACTCTGCTACCCTGGGGAAAAGACCTTGGCTATTCACTCTTTCCATGCCCCTCATGATTTTATAAACCTCTATAAGGTCATGCCTCAGCCTCTGACGCTCCAGGGAAAATAACCCCAGCCTATTCATGACAGAACCAACATGCTGGCTGGCAGAAGAGTCATAAAGATCATCAGAACCCGGGAACAAAGACTATCAAAACTGTGTTTCCAGTTTTTCCCCTCTGCCTATAACCCAATCTATCCTGTCTGTCAGTGTGTATGTAAGTGGGAATTTATGAGGTAATAAGAGTTTTAATTGGTGGTATTATATGCTAATGATTTAAAGCTGTTTATATGTAGGTGGAGTCTAATTACTTGTAATAAATAGAAATTCTTGTTCAGTTACAGAAATCTTGTCTGTGCTTTGTATTAATCTGGGTCTGAAAGTCAAGTAAAATGAGGAACTTTACATTTTGTAACATCTTTAACTTTTCTGATGACTCCAGTTAAAGCAGGGCACAATTTAACAAAATTTGAGTATTTGTCTGGGAGTGGATTAAAAACAGAAGCAATGAGGATTTGGGCATGGTATTGGTCAGTAATACAGATCAAGAAAAACATTACATTCTGTACTGCACTTAAGACAGCAAAGGACCATCTGGCAAGGTAGAATTGTCCTTAGCAGTCTTAAGGAAAATTTCAAAACCCAGGTTGATTGACTTGGCAGGTAAGCTGGAAACTGCATTGCCGAACAGAGCTAAGAAGGCAGAAGTAATTGAGGTACTAGTAGGGCACTTGGATTTTGAGGAAATACAGAAAAGACCAAATAACCCAGTGATTCTCAATATTGTTATCTTCAAAGTTTCAGACAATTAAAATTGCAAGATCTTTGCTGCATTGCCCTCTTACTGACAATCAATCTAGACCCGAAACGTCAGCTTTCCTGCTCCTCTGATGCTGCTTGGCCTGCTGTGTTCATCCAGCTCTACACCTTGTTATCTCACAATTAGAAACAAATTAGTTTTCCATTTCCTAATTTAATATAATATTATGAACTTAACCACTGAAATTAGTTGCCAATGTTATAAATAGATCCCCAGATGTGCAGCATTTTGATAACAAGTGCGCTTGAGTCGCACAATACAAATGTGACTTTCAGCTGCTGGTGTTATAACAAAGCCATGCTTTATATCAAAAAACACTATTATTTACTTGCTGAAAATCACTGATTTAGTTTTAGAAGACTGAAGCAGCATTTTGGTGATTTGAAACAACAGCTACTAGGGATGGCTAGATATCTACAGGACCGTACCTCACAAATTCCAGGGCCATTAAAATGGAGCTAATGGAGCCAGCCTGTCTAGAAAACTGCAGAGACAAATACCTTGAAGGAGTATGACTGGACCATCCCCTAAACAATTCATGAAGTAGCCAATCACTGAAATATGCAACTGAGCAAGACCAAATATTAGATGAAATCACCTCAGACATTGAACTCTGGCCAAGAAAGGAATTCATTCACCCATAATGTATTGTAACTGATGGACATGGAATCCATTAGCCCCGATCATATTTAGATAACTTGTCAGTTAACGAGTTATACAGCACAGAAATAGACCCTTCGGTCTAATTTGTACATGCCAACCGGATATTCTAAACTGATCTAGTCCCATTTGCCAGGATTTTCCCATTTCCATCTAAACCCTACCTATTCATATATCCATTCAGATGCTTTTGAAATATTGTAATTGCACCCACTTCCACCACCTCCTCTGACAGTTCATTCCCTACATGTATCACCCTCTGCATGAAAAAGTTGCCCCTCAGGTCCCTTTTAAATCTTTCCTTCTGACCTTACCTAAGCCCTCTAGTTTTAGACTTTCCTATCCTGGGAAAAAAACATTCTGGCGGGCTCTAAAAAACCTAACTAGTCTATCCTCCCAGTAATTTACTTATGTGTGTACGTGTGTGAATCTGAGTGCATGTATGTGTGGAAATGAGAGTACTATATTACATTTATTAGACTGGGTTAAATATGATAAATATTATTCTCCTCCTTTTCTAAAACTTACAAGGAAACCTGTCTCTGTATCTCTTGAATAGTCACAGCACTTAAATAGTTAGAAACTGACTGAATTGACAACCACATCCTTTAAAAAATTAATTTGTGGTCAGATTTGGGGCAGCTTTGTGGCTCAGTGGTTAGCATCGCTGTCTCACTGTGCCAGGAACCTGGGTGTGATTCTAGCCTAGAAGTGACTGTGTGGAGTTTGCACATTTTCCCCATGTCTGCATGGGTTTCCTCCGGGTACTCCAGTTTCCTCCCACAGTCCAAAGATGTGCAGGTTAGGTGGACTGGTCATGCTAAATTGTCCGTAGTATCCAGCGATATGTAGTTTAGGTGGATTAGCCATGGGAAATGCAGGGTTACAGGGATAGGGTAGAGGGATGGATCTGGGTGGGATGCTCTTCGTAGGGTTGGTGTGGACTCGATAGCTTGAATGGCCTGCTTTCACACAGCAGGGATTCTATAACTCTGTGAAATGAGGGGTGGGACTAAAGGGTAGCAATTCTACTCCTCCTCACCTGCTATTAACAACATTCTGGAGTCAATCTGTTGGTTCAAATAAGGCATCTCACTGCAAAATGTCCTCTGTAGCACATCACAGTAGCTCACTGAAAGCAAATCTTTGGTTTTTCCCCAGTAAAAGCCTTTCCTATTTCCTTGTATTTTCTCGATTATGTTCCTGATGGTACCTTCTCTCTTGGAAGCAGTTAATCAGTTTCTTGTGTAGTTGGAATCTTACAGCTTACACAATTGTGTGTTCTGGAAAGTTTTTTTTTTATGGAGGTTTAACAATTTGAGATCTAACAGTTTGTTTGACCCTGTCTTCCTCTCCTTGATACCCATAATCCTTAAATCCGCCACTTTATTATAAGTTGCAGGGTCTAACTGTTTAAGTGGAAATAGTAACATTTTAGCAGGAAGAGAAAGCCCAGGGACTGACCCATGTTTATTTCAAAATGTTAAAGATAATGATCAAACTAAAAGGAAAAACAATATGATTGTGCAAAAGATAATTGACAGATGAGAAGATTAGACAGAATATATCAAAAAAGCAAACAATGAAAAAATAAAGAGAAGTTAGAGTAAAAGAGAAAGCTTGTCAGGAATCTAAAAACAAATAATGACAGTTTCTATAAATATTTAAATCAGAGTTTAAAAGTGAGCATTGGTCCCATAGAAAGTGAGACGCATCATCCTCCGACACTTCCGCCATCTGCAATCCGACCCCACCACCAAAGACATCTTTCCCTCCCCACC